AGCAGCAGCAGCAGCTGCTGCTGCTGCTGCAGTGGGCGTTGCAGGCCCGCGGCAGCCCGCGGTGTTGCGCTGAGGCCCTGCGCAGCGCCGCTGTGCACCCCAGGGAAGGCCTGGGGGCCCTGGGCGAGGCGAAGGGCCCCACAGCTGTACTTCGAACAGCTGGGGCCCCCGAGGCCTCCCCCGGCTGCGGAGCTGCTGCTGCAGGGCGTGGGGCCCCTGCTGCTGCTGCAGGGCGTGGGGCCCCTGCTGCCGCTGCAGGGCATGGGGCCCTTGCTGCTGCTGCAGGGCATGGGGCCCTTGCTGCTGCAGGGCGTGGGGCCCCTGCTGCTGCTGCAGGGCATGGGGCCCCTGCTGCTGCAGGGCGTGGGGCCCCTGCTGCTGCCAGCCATAAGGCCTAGATTTGCCACCTGGCCGAGACTGAGGGGAACTGGGCGCCCCCGGGGGCCCTCTGTCTTCAGCAGTGCAGCTTTGAGTTGGCCAGTGGCTGCTGGAGTTGGCCCTCTGGAGCTGCGCACTGAGACAGAAGAGGAATCTCCACAAGGCCCCAAGTACTTCATTGCTGCTGCAGGTGGAATCTGAAGCCTCAGAGTACGCTTGGGGTTGCCTCCAGCAGCAAACTGCTGGAGCGCAGCAGCTTGGCCAGCAATTTGGCCCGCCTCGCGGCTTATGGGCCCCAAGGGGCCCCTAAGGGGCCTCCGGCATTGGGGGGGTATTTGGGGGGCAGTACTCGCCACTCCAGTGCATTGTGGGTACGCAGGGGCCCTCTCGAGTTGCTGCCGGAGATGGGAAGCTGGCAGAAAGATTGGAGGCAACTTGTTCAGTTCGACGCACCTCTACGCGTTTCCTGAGAAGGTAAACCTGTGCGTGGAGGCGCCTGATCAGTTCCTGCTTTTTGCAGTTTCGCTAAACTCAAAAAATACTTCAAAAGGAAAGCAATGGGACATTACATCTTTGTACGCAGAGAGCTGCCTGAGGATGTACAGCTCGGTCGGACCTGCACCTGATTCAAAGGAATATTCCATTGAATTGATGCAGGGAATGAGCACAGAAAGACTGCTGCCGGTTTAGAAATGAAATTAAACGAACATCTAGAAAGAAGTTGTGCTCAGCGGAAAAATACAAAAAGTCAACATTTCGCCATGAGGGAGAGTTGTTAAAGTGACGCTCATTTTGTGCAAAATCTGTGCAAGAATTGGGGTGTCTAGACACCTCGGGTAGATCCCTATACAACAACGCGGCAGCTGCTGAAGCCTCATGGCCGTGGATCTGAAGGGAGCTCCGGCCCTTCTCCCAAATTTCGCGCGTCCTTTGTTTTCAATTACATTTTTTTGTTTTTCATTTCTTTTTAATTGAAAATAATAGTGCTAATTCAAAGTTACGGTGGCGTCGCGGCGCAGGCCGCCGACGGGCAACTGCGCCCTGCGTACCAAGTGACCTCACGCCGTTGCAACTCCGCTCCAATTAGCAGCGTAGCACTTAGAACACCATTTAAAATACTCCAAACCATGACAACAATCTGAAAATGATTTAATTTCGCCTTGAATGCGGCGTTTACCCTCTTCCTCCCGCGCAAAGCGGCCCGTCGTGCAGGTTCTCTCCACCTCGGAGCGGCGCGGAACGCGCGGCTGGCCTTGAAAGGCAACAGCCCAAAGCAAAGCAAAGTGCCGGCACTTTTAAAATGCACAATAGATTAGAGTTTACTGGCCATAAACTAATAACGCCGCGAAAAGTGGCCCTTAATAGCGAGCCCCCCCAGCCAACTGTTGAGTTGAAACTGGCTGGAGGAAGCTGCCGGTGAGGCGGCGCTGCGGGCACAGCTCTTCACTTCTGCGGGGCAATCGAAGGCCAGCCGAGTGGCTGTAGTAACTGTTTAGAGCTTTAGAACTTGGGAGCTTTGCTGCAGCTTCCTGGCCCCCAGCCTGCATGCAGTCTGCTGCGCCCGCAGCGAAATGTGGAAATTCCACAAGACCTTTTGGCCCGACACTCTCGCAGACGCCCGCCTTACGGCGGCGCTGCCGGCCTTCCGCGAGAAGATTGTTTTCGTCGGCGACGCCCAGTCCGGCAAGACTAGCGTCATAGACAGGTGCACGCTTCAGCAGCAGCAGCAGCAGCAGTTGCTGCTGCTGCTGCAGCAGCAGCGGAGTTGCCGCTGCTGCGGCCGCCGTAGCGCCTCTGGCGAAGCTCAACACTCGCTCTGCTTAGCAGCACAGAACAGCTGCTGTTAACTGTGGGCTGCTGCTTCGCAAGAGTCCGCAGCAGAGGTTTGCTGCTGCTCTTGGGAGCCCCCAGCAGCAGCAGCAAACGGCGCAGTGCGCAGCAGAACAAGACACAAGAGGCCTTCTCTTGCGTTCTGCGCAGTGTCCGCGCTGCTCTCCACCAGCAGCAGCTGCAGCAGCAGCAGCCGCAGCAGCAGCGCCCTAGATGAGTGCGAGTGCCCAGCAGAGAGCCCCAGTTAGCTGCTGCTGCTGCTGCCGCTGCTGCTGCTGCTGCTGCTGCTGCAGGTACATCTTCGCCCGCTTCAACCCCCACACCGAGCCCACGTGGTCTTTGCGCCTGGCCACAAAGTCCTGGGCCATTTCAGCTCCTGCTGCATGCATAGTAAATGTGGAGCTTTGGGACACTCCCAGGGGAGTCAGTTTTACTTCCCTGCCTCCAAACCCTGCTGCTGCTGCTGCTGCTGCTGCTGTTGCTGCTTGGGGGATCGTGCCGCAGCAGCGGCCGCGGGGCGGCGGCGCGCAGCAGCTGGCGCTGCGCGCAGCAGCTGGCGCTGCGCGCCGCCGCCCCGCGGCCGCCGCAGCAGCAGCTCCGCTGCTGCCGCCGCCGCCGC